TATTATYACTGATAACAGAGTCAGGGTGAATTTTTCCTACTGAACAACAAAATGTGCMCACCCACAATTGCAAATCTTCTCTGAGCTGTTCTCTGAGTTTCCTTAGGCAGCATCCAAAAATAACATAAATATCAAAGAATTATTTCTGCAGAATATATCCTGCACTTCACCCTCACTGCTTCAGATTTCCCTCTGGCAAATGTTTGGCCTGAAGTCACATAAATCTAACTTGTGGATAGAACTGGAATCCCCAATCTATAGGCAAGGCCACAGCCATTGCCCCAGTGCTCATAAATGWGTTTTTATGAGGAAAAAGGAAACARAAAGATACAATGCTGCACTCCAGATTATCTTGTTTGCATTTCATAGCAGTAAAAAATAATAAAATACTGTATTTTAGGCCTTCCTGAGTTCTGTAGTTAAAAATTATTCTTCAACAGGAGAGGTGGCAGCCAAGCAAGGGAGATGGGGCAAAGCAGCCTTTCCAATTCAGTTGATTTGTCAATTTGACATTTAGTTAAACACAKTTATTTGCAGCAAATTGGGTTGTTAGGGTCAATAAGGAATAGGCATCAAAGAAATGCAGGTTTCTTTTAAGATGTACAGTGTAAATATTAAACAAGAACTTCAAAGTAAAAGCCTGGTTTAAATGGGAAAAATTCTATTAAGTAGTTTTTTTACTACTCAAACTGTAACTTGGGTTACTGTAACTCTGTTTTCTGAGCCAGAATTATTTCCAGTTATAAATATTTTCATATCAATGTAATAGTGAAGGTTTTGCCACTTGAGCCATCCTTAAAGCAGCAGACATTCAGTGTGAATGCCAGCAAAGTGGATACAGACAAAAACCCATGTTTTATGGAATTTTGCAAGTCCAGCATTTGGAATAATGCACTGTCCCAGCTGCARTCAGTGGGAATGGTTGGTTTGCTCAAACAGGMAGCTCAGAACCACAATCTRTGTTAGGATTTTGTTGCTCCTGTCRTTATTTCCAKYTGGATTCCCTGTTGTGGCCTGGCCATTGCCATCCCTGTTTCTGTCCCCTGCAGGCCCGTTTCGTGCTGATCCTGCTGGTGGGCTCCTTCGATGTGATCTGTGCCATCATCCTCATCCAGAGCCAGTCCATGATGGCATTCCGGGTGGGAGGTGCCCTGGAGAGCCTCCARTCCCAGTACTTCATGCTCAACCTCTGCTTTTCCATGCTCACTTTTGACCTGCAGGCACAGGTACAGAGCTCTGACCCCCAGATCCCCTTTTTCCCTTTTATTGATAATATCCTGGACTGWGTTATCAACTTCCAAGAGCAATCCTCTATCAAACTTTTATTAATATTAACTTAATAATAGTTGTATCTCCAGGTGTTTGCTCAGCTTAGCTAAAATCTATAAAAACAAATCAAAATATATTTTATCRTTGTCCTGCACAAAAGGAGAACTGAAACTTATTTTTGGAATGTTTATCCCTAAAAAAACCAATTGCTTCCAGGAGCTCTGACCCACCTATGGCCTCCTAAATGAAGAAGGGTTATTCCTGCACATCTCCCACTTTGCAGTGACTCCTGCACTTGAGGAGATGAKACTGGGGTGGGAGAGGGGAACCTGAGCAACAGGGCAGTGAGACAGAAAATGAAGTTACAGATRGGGGAAATGAACCCAAGATCTGTTACCTCCCTAACTACCCCTCATTTCTATTTATTGCTGCATTATTTAAGCTTTATCTGCTCCTCCTGTTCTTTTTGCTTGCTGTTACACAGGAAAGAACCTCTGTCCTTGTTTCCCATTCCATGAGGAATAATTTCAGCTTTTAGGCCCATGCCCAACTTGCTGTTTGCAGGGAGTTTGTGGCAGATATTTTTTGGTGGGGCTGCCTGGTTTCCAAACAACGATTTCACTGAATTTTGCCTCCCCAGCTGTGCCTGTGCATCCTGCTGATCAGCCTGCACGAGGTCACCCTGCTGCACAACGTCATCTCAGCCACRGGCGTGGTGTGGGGCTGCCTCAAGGTCACCGTGGGCATCATTGCAGTGAGTGTCCAGCTGCAGGGACACCCAGGGACAAAAAACCCCTGGCACTGCACATCCTCACCCTCAGGGCTTCCCACAGGCTGAGGGGAGGGAGCCACGATGGAGGAAATCAAAGCTCCAGCAATARCAAAGCCAGGTTTTGTCTAAATTTGTGTCTGAACTGAGCACACGGGGCGAAACAAGGTCACATTGTCACTATTTCATTCTGAGGGACCTTGTTTCAGTCCTTGATCACCAATGAAACCTGGAAGATCACACTGKGTTCAATATTTCTGCCTCTCTTCCAAGGCTGGGTGAAACTGGGAGCAATCTTCCAAATTATTACAGTGATACAGACACAGTGAGGCCTTTATTAATATTAATAATGGGCATATTTCCAGGTGTTTGCCATAGGGAAGCTTAATTAAAAAATCTTAGGAATCCACACCAAAAAGATGAAGGATCCTTTTATTTGGGCCATCTTCTTCAAAGCTCAGGTTAACCTAAAGATTTGTGAATTTGAAATGTCRTTTTTCATGTCAGCCTGAACTTCCTCTGAAATCTTGAGCCTCTGTTCCAAGAACGATTGCAGAATCAGGGCTAAAGTMCATCAGATAAGTGAGTTTTTTATTACCAGGAAGGAGTTGAGGGGTTTTTTGGGGGTGGATGTTGTTTTAGGCTCCTGGGCTGTTTGCTTTAGTCGTTCACACAAATTCCTGACAGCTGAAATGCAGCTTCCTATGTGTTTTGTTGGCTTTCCTTGCTAAAACTTTTAAAATAAATCAATAATTCAGGCAACAGGTCAACATTCTGACCATTGAAGGATCAGTTTTGGGTTTTGGGGGGAATCTGGTGCTGATCAGATGCATCAAATCCAATCCTAACATTTCTCTCATSCCCAGTGACTCAGCTGCTTTTGTTGCCTTTGCTCAGACCTGCCCTCCCAGCTCAGGGCTGCTCAGTCCCTTTCTTCTTTCCCAAGTCCCAGGGGGAATTGTGAAATTCAATTCTCTGGGCACTTAAATCCTCCTGCTTCTCCCACATTTCAGTCCTCAGTCACTGCACTGCTGTGCAGTAAAAAGAAAGGTGGAGAAAAAGTTATGRGAAGCTTTCAGTCTGTTAATAATGAAAATGTTTCAGAGAAAAATGTGAGTGTACCCAGAGAAAAGGGGAATCACCACTCCTGAGGCTGAATTTCCTGCTAAAAACCATAAATGGAGAAGGCAAGGGGAGAGCAAAGCTCAGACTGAGAGCTCAGCTTAACCAACACTTGGAATGCTATGAATATTCAACTGTATGTAGCTTTTTTTGTGTGTAGCAATGACTTACAGAGCTGTGTCTCATCTTCTTTTGCAGATTTTAAAAGAGCTGAAAGCTCTGGTGTGGGTTTTTCTGATTCAGAACGTGCCTGAGGTGGTTTATCTCATCTACCTGCTCTACACGGTAAGGGAGGAAGGCTGGGGGTCTCATCCTCATCCTCCTCAGCCCCCAAGGGTGCTGCCTCACCCTTTCCCTGCAGCTCCTGCTGCATTCAAAGAGAGCAGCAGGCACATCCTGGCTCTTCAGGATCAACTTTTCAGGACAGGGACTGTGTCAAGCTGCTCTTGAACTGATCAGAGGGAGAGGCTCTGGAAATCCCTGCAAAGAATGATGAGGGAAAGATGAAACAAAATCTTGTACAAGACACACAACTCCTCAAAAATGCCTCCCCTTTTTCATAGGAGCTTCAAGTGGTGCCAGAGCATTTGACCAGGGCTCTGTTGTTTTATTTTAAGGAATTTCTTAGGCAGCAGTCCCAGCTGTCAGTTCTGATTTAGCCAAAACAAGGCAGTGCAAGCCCAACAAGCTCCAGTTTGGGGCAGATTTTTGGCTCTGGAACTGAGATAAAGCCTTTATCAGTGGGCACCTCCCATGAGATGTGTGAGAGGAGGGTAAGGGGAAATCAGGCTGGAATTCTGGAATGCTGAGAATGGCCAATGTTCCTCCTCCTGCACATCCCAGACACTGCCAGAGCCAGGGTCAGAGCCACCCACAGCCTCRGGGTTCCATTTATCAAAAAAAGCAAATAAATCAGGCTCTTCCCATTATTCCAGGCCAGATGGAGCTGGCAGAGCACAGCAGGACCCCACTCTGTACATCAAATCATCAGAAAGCTCAGATGGTTTCAAAGTGACCACTTGGGTTTGTGCTTTTTTCCCAATTACCATCTCTGACACTTCTTGAGCTCCAAAAGTAACCAGTTACCAAATAAAAAAGTATTTGATATTCAGTTATCAAATAACTGAATATTCCACTTAGGAAACCTCTCAGCAGCTTCAAAACAGTGATAAAAACAATTACTGCAGATTCTGATGAATGAGAAATCCCAAAAGCTCTCTGGATATTCTCCAAAATATCCCAAAATCCATCTGRTTTTGACCAAACCAATATTCTATTTTACAAAATGTACAAACCAAGCATTAATGAACACACTTTCATTGTGATTTATGGCTTCTTTCACAAATCCAGTGTTCTGGCTTCAAGCTGGCAGCAGTTTTTTGGTTTTTTTTTTAGCTGAGTTTCACATCTCCCTTTTCCTGCAGGTGATCAAGGAGTGGGGCAAAGGCAATTCTTACACCCTGGAGGCCGCTTTCATCACMGGCTCCTGCATTTCTGTCGCAATCAAATCCGTTCTGTTCTGGGCTCTGGTTCAYGTCTACCGCAGCTTCGGGCAGGGGCTGAGGGAGAGAAGTAAGTACCCCAAAAATTGACTGGGAGAGAAGTGTGTACCCCAAAAATGGACTGGGAGGGAAGTAAATAGCTCAAAAATCCACTGGGAGAGGAGTGTGTACCCCAAAAATTGACTGGGAGAGAAGTGTGTACCCCAAAACTTGACTGGGAGACAAGTAAGTACTGCAAAAAAATGACTGAGAGGGAAGTAAGGACCCCAAAAATTGACTGGGAGGGAAACAAGTACCCCAAAAATTCACTGGGAAAGAAGTAAGGACCTGAAACATTCACTGGGAAGGTTGGAGGCTGTTCACAGTCAGTGAAATAAGGAAAATCCTTAGGGATTTGTCGCAGTAAAAGGCAGATCCCCAGTGACATTGAGCAGTTCTGCAGCCTCAAAATCACTGGGCTGCCAAAGCTCAGGAGCTGGGTGGAACAATTTGTTTTTTCCTTGAAAGCTGCTGCCACCTGAGTAAGAACTACTGCTGTCCAGAAAATCAAACCTGTGTGAACAAATCTGATATTTGTGATTTTTCTGTCCTGTTGTGTAATAGAGACAATAAAGGGACCTGGAGAGCCACTGGGACACCCCCCAGCCCTTCTGTCACAAGGAACACTGAGCCATTCCAGTGGTGCTGACTGAATTCCCTCTGTGCTTTCTGTTTTTCCTCCCCCAGTGTTTTCTTCCTATGGAAGGATCGACTCCTGAGCCCTCCCCCTGGAGTGGGGTCACACCAGGGAGCTCCTGACCAAGGACCTGCCTTCAGGGTGGACAGGATTTCAAGGACAGAGGCTCAGGAAGATGTCACACATTTCCTGGAGCACTGCAGGTGGGCCAGATTTCAAAGAGCAAAAATGTGCTCTAGAAATTGCCAGGTGATCCTCTCACTCCTGTGAGTTCTGCTAAAAGGACAAAGCATCTTTCACTCCTCCTTTTCCTGCTGCTGCTTTGGATGGAGCCACAGGGGGTTCACAGGTGGGAACTCCTGATGAACAAAGACAATGGGTCACTTCCCCAGAATGGAGAAGGGTCAGGAAGATGTCACACATTTCCTGGAGCACTGCAGGTGTAAAAAGTAAAACATGCTGGGGAAATTGCCAGGTGATCCCCTCACTCCTGTGAGTTCTGCCAGGACAAAGCATTTTCACTCCTGTTGCTGCTGCTGCTTTGGGTGGAGCCACAGGGGGCTCACCGTTGCCTGTGATCAGAAATGTTGCTCCTGTCAATGCTTTTTGCCTGGATAAGCACAAATATCACGAAGGAAATTTGCACTTCCATCGTCTGTACCCCAGCCTGGAAGTGGATTGTGCTGCCATCATTTCTGCTGAGCAGGTCTGAATTGTTCTGGTGACAGTTGTGTCCCCTGGCTGGGGCTCTTCTCCCTCCTCTGGCTGCAGAATATTTCAATTTTTTTTTTAATTTTTAACCCCAGCTACACATGGAAGCTCCTCGCTGTAAGTTCACCCCTCCCTCAGTGTAAYCATGGTGCCATTTCATCCTGGGGGGACTGTTAAAACAAAGCCTTTAACAGTGTAATTTAAAAGTTTGCTATTTTATTGACTGGAACCTTTAACTACTGGCTATTTTTTAATAAAGTATAAGCACAGTTTGTGTRTGTGGATAATTCTTTCACATGGAACAGCACCAATTCAATCTTTACCTCGCAGGCAGCTGCAAACTGCAAAAATCAGTTAAAATAAATTATTGCAGCTTATTAGGGAAATTTACAAGGATTCCATCAAAACTATAAAAATATACATATAAAAATATGTATTTTTTTCATCCTCATCTCCTAAACCTGAACCAAATYTACTTTATCTGGAGCCCAAGGGAGGCACAAAGAGGTTAATTGTGACTGTAGGGCTGACAGAGCAGCAGCTGACTCGGTGACTTCATCCCAGCAGTCCCAGAGGCACCAGRAATTCTTGTTGGAAGAGTCACAATTGAACATTTGCAGTTCCCCAAGCCCAGCCCACAGGCAGCAGGGCTGGAGGGGAAGGGAAGGCTCTGCTCTTGCACAAAACCTGTGCTGGCTCAGAATTTGGGGAAAAAAATGTTTTATGGCCAACTAAAGAAATTGCTTTGTGGACAGCAAAGAGTTGGGCACCAGCCAGGCAGAAAAAAGTGAAAAAGTGAAAAAACTCTTTCCAAAGTGCCATGAAAAACAAAAATTCCCATTAAAAACAGATTCTTTAACTGCAAAAGGCATCTCCTTGTAAAAAACTCCACTCAAAAATTGTTCCTTTACCTGCCAAAGGCATCTCCTGCTGTTTATCCACCACCTGAGCTGCAGGAACTGCTGGAATGGGTGAATTATGAAATCAGATGAATTATGAAATTAAAAGACTCTCAAGCATCATCATTAATCACAACTTTCATGGRAGAAGTGTTCAGAACTTGGTCAGAAAGTGCCACAGGTGTTTAAACCCCATTTTCAATYCTAAACTTGCTGGGGATCAAATTATCAGAGAACACTTGACCAGGATTGCCTTTATCWATTTCTTSCCTCCCATTTSTATTCCTRGGCYTTCAAAACAAGTGTTTGTTATACAYAAGATTTGTTTCAACTTRCACAGCAAATCCAGCATTTATTTTGARATTTTTGAGGRAAAAAAAATTCAAAAAAAATTAYAAAACATTCAAAAAAAACCTTGGGTGTATTCCCAGAAAACAGATGCCACTGATCCCATGGGAAGTGTCAAACCCCACACAATTCCAAGGGATTTTGTATTCCCAATTTTATATTCCCCCCCAGTCAAAGGACAAACTGACAAATCCAACTTTACAAAAAGATTTTATTGAAAGGATTGAAAAATATTTTGTTTCTCAACAATATTTAAAACCCAAGTTTTCAATGCGTTAACAATAYGTAACAGGATTTTTCATCTTTTAAAAATTCAGTACACTGCTTTATTCTCTACCACACAGTTGGTAACAACTTCTTCAATTTTTACCAGAGGATAACTTCTTTTTTTTTAAGAAAACCAAATTAATTTCCCAKCTTGTTTTGGCCCTTTGTAGACGAAAGGATTTGTAGGTACCAGTGACTTACAAACCCTTTAATTAGAAACTCTTAATCAGCAAACCCCCTTTTTTATTTTTAAGCACAGTTTCACCAAGTTATTCTGAATAAGCTACATCAGCAAAACGAGGTTTTATTGCCAATAAAGTGAGGTGCATTGCAGCTTTTTTTCTGACTCCCCCTCACCTGGAGCAGCTCAAACACAGAACTCCAGGGCTGCTCCAGCCTCCCTCTCCTGCAGTTTGCAGATTAAAAACCTTGAAAAGGGATTTTGTGATGTTTTACCACAGCCTGGGCTGTGCCTGGATCTCAAGCAGCTGCTTCAGGGAGAATCRAGGCAGATTTTTGGAGCTTTTGGAGTGACTGCCCTGCCTCCAGCAGCTCTGCTGGGCTGATCAGCCCCCCAAAAATTGTTTTTTTCTCGGCAGGAATTTAATATGAGCAAAGCTGCAGCAGCCTCAGAGCCTGCAATGCAATTGCAGCCGATGAGAAATCAGAAAAAAAAATTTCAAGCCAACCCCTAATGTAGATCTAAAGTAGTTCAGTACACTTTGATTACAGATTTCAGGACCTGTGCACTCTGAAAATTAAAAGTTCGGCAATTTAGTCAAGAATAGCTTTACTATTATAAAAAGCATAAATAAAAAGTGCTGAATATAGTGTTATCTTTAAAAAAATACTAGATAAGGCTCATAAATCATTTCACCTCTGCAAAATGATTTCCACTCCCCAGGGTGCCTAGAACTGCTCATTCTCCACTCATCCACACGTTTCTCTAGACACCAGACCCTGTTCCTTCTCTCAATTATTGCATGTTTAAATAAAATAGTTTCAAAGCAAAAAGCCTGACACTTCTCTAGCTCAGAAAAGTAACCAGTTATCAAATAACTGAATACTCCACTCAGGAAACCCGTAAGCAGCTTCAAAACAGTGATAAAACAATTACTGCAGATTCAAGTGAAAGAGAAATCCCAAAAGCTCTCTGGATATTCTCCAAAATATCCCAAAAATCCATCTGGTTTTGACCAAATCAAACCAATATTYTATTTTACAAAATGTACAAACCAAGCATTAATTTATATGAACACACTTTCATTGTGATTTGTTACCCAAGAGTTTGCTTCTCTTTTCTGGAAAAGTGCTCTCGCCTGCATTTCATGAACTCGGCCCAGGGCAGCATCCAAAAAGGACGAGACATTATTGAAAGATCAGAGGACAGCAGGTCAGGCAGAGTTTGGAAATGAACCCATTTCCCATTTCCACTTTGGACCACGTGAAACAACGTAAGACAATCATGAACAAAGTTCCGCAGAGATTCACATTCCCAAGGCAATCCCACCTCAATCAGTGAACTCAATTAATGAAACACTGAACAGCTCCTTTCCCTTCCTTTAATGACGATGCAGCAAGACTGGAAAACGCTGAAGTTTGGATAAGATGATGATGAGACTGCACCACAGAGAACATAAATGTAAACATTATCCTTGGGTTTGCTCTTTTACAGGTAAAGTACAGCACAAACCCTTTAATTTCCTCCCCAATCAGTTCTTCCGTTGGGGTTGTTTTGTTCTTTCATAAAAGCACGTACGATAAAATATGTACAGAGAGAAGTTAGAAAGGTTTGAAAGCATCTTAAAAAAAGTAAATGTGAGACTTAGAATTATCTTGAGYGTGCTGAAGGCACCGTTGCTACTCCGCTGGGAATGTGTCCTCTCGTTTTTCCATCCCATCCTGGATTTCTCAGCACCAAGAGTTGGAAAGTTTCCATGGAAGTTGAGGGCATTCAGGATCTAGAACACGGTATTTTTTTCAGGATAATAATGGAACTATAATACAGCAGCAATCCAAGTGCAGATTCTTCTTGAATGCTTGAATTTTGTTTTTTTAGAAACATGATAGTCTGTAATGCTACCATTTATCCCAGGGAATCAAACAAAAATAATAATTAAACCAACAYATGGATGATGATTCCTACCAAAGAGGAACTGCAGAATTAGCCCAGCTACAAAAMCTGTAATAACCAATGCTCATCRCTGCTGTTCGTGGGYATTTCCACAGTGCTGACAGCCAAGRGTCAACCACTGCTCCAATGGGCACAAGAGAGAGAAATGTATATATCAAAAATATATACTTTTAATTACTAATTCCATCTATGAATAAAAAAACATCCTTTGTGGGTGTTTCTTCAGTGTGTCACACTTGCAAGTAAGAAAGTATTTTCTGGGCAAAGTGTACTGAAGATAACAAASAGGAGCTTTTGTTTTTTTTAAAAAAGAAAAAAGAAAACTTCTCTGAGCCTTTCTATTCCTAGTAGTGTTAAATGGAGTTACAAATCTACCAAATGAAAAGAGGAGATTTTTTAATGCCACTTTTCTGCTGCCACTTTTCCCTGGTGTAGCTACATTCAGCCTACCATGGAACTGGTAAGGTAGAAGTTACAATCAAAGCTGCAGATGTGGTTGGTGATAAAAATCAGGAACAATCCACTCTCAGACCGCTCATTGGGGAGGAGATTCACACGGGATTAGAACCATCAAAGCCTTCCACTCCTTCTCTCGAGGGACAGGAAGGAACACAACCCTTCCCAGCCACGGGTGTGAGGGATATAAACCATAACCAGGGTGGTGGCCACACCGAGAGCTCCAAAATCCCAGCAGAGAGGAGGGAAACTGCCCCATTCCTTTCCATTTTCCATTTCCATTTTCCATTCCATTCCATTCCCAGCAGTCCTGGGGGACACAGATGCTCAGAATTCCTCCTCCTCCACRGCGAAGTTGTTCTGTTTCTTGCGCACGTTCCAGTGCAGGCACTCGGCCAGGCTCTCGAACCAGTCACTGACGGGGTCACGGAAGCAGATGGAAGGGAGGGGGTAGCACGAGGTAGTGATGCTGATACTGCAACAGCAGGGCACAGTCAGGCCAGGGCAGCCCCTGAACCACACCCAGCATGATCCCCACCCTGCACAGCACCCACGCACTGATATCACCAAACCACAGCGTTCCATGGGTGCCTTAGCATTTTTAATTTCTCTACTTTCATGGGTTTGTATTCCTGTCCTTCCCCAGTGCACAGCACTGAGCTGCTGCTCTCCCATCTTCAGACAAAACAATTCCTCTCTGAGCCTGAATCCAAGGACATTTTGCTGCCTCAGAGCCCCAAAATATGGAAACAACAGAGAATTGAGGGGAGCAGGTTTGAGGGATTGACATCATCACTTGGTGATGGAGAACTGGGGCCCAATGTGTTCATAAAACTGAACCTATAAAAGGTGAAGATCTCATGACTCGGGGTCCATTTTGGGTGTAGCCTCATGAGCAGGCTTTRTCTGCCCTTAATGCACATGTAGGCCTTCCTTAAATTTACCTGCTTTTATTCCTTAACTTTGCCTGGCCTCTGTTTCAGGTGAGCCTTGTTTCAGGCATCAACATCATAACACAATCACCAAAATTAAAGCAGATCACAAATGAGCTTTAAATGATGATCTGTGGACATTTCCTGTGACACAGCTCTGAGCCCCTCCGTGACATCCTTCATCCTGCTGGGCCTCACCCCCACGGGGGACAAGGAAAACCCAAGGCACTGCTGGGGCCTTTCAGTTTCAAGTTTTAAGCATTAAAACAAAGAATCCCAAAGTGTAACCAAGGGCCAAAGCTCCTGTTTGAATCTTTACCAGGCTCCTGAGCTATCCTAGATCATTGCAGCTCAGAAGAAATAAAACTCGTTCAGGATGGAGGCCTACACCAGCTGTACATTTTCCTTTAATTGGTGTGGGCCAAGAGGAAAAAGGGCACCCTGAACAACAAACCCACCAATCTCCTTCCCACAGCTGCCTTAAATCACCTCCACCACCAAATATTGAACATAAAACTGAGGAATTCACCCYTTTCTGCTCACCCAAAAGTGAGTGACCACAACCACTCCCAGTAAACCCAGTTGAAACCCCATGGAGTTTTCCAGCAGCTCTGCTCACAGGCAGCTCCTGTTGGTTTTTATCTTCTAGAATTCCTAAGATTTCTCTTGAAGTTAAAACTGACAGAGTTTTCTAAAGATATGCCCATCTYCCTTGCCAAGCACGCAATGTTTACAGAGCCTGAACCCTTCTCTTGCTTTTATGGGAAGAKCTAAAGAACCCAAGTTAGAAATTGAATCCTTTTTGTGCAGTTTGTGCTCTGGGAGGTGTGAGGGTTTATAAATCCTTGTTTCTTCACTGCCAAAAACCCTTTTGGCAGATGTTAGAGAACGAGGGAGCTGCACGAATCAGGGTTTTCTATACTTAGAGATAATACAATCAGAAAAAAGCTCTGACCTGTCTCCGTGGCAGATTTCCTGCCTCTTCCTTCCATCAAACGAAACCCACGCCGTGTTCCTGGCATCTGGGGAGAGCATAATCTGAAAAAAAAAACCAGAAATCAGCTGAACTTTGGGTCCAAAACTCCAAAAGCAAGGAACAAACACCTCCTCCACCCTCCCTCTGAGCACTGAGTTGAGTCTTTGGAATTCCTCATCTCTGCCCATGGCAGCAGCGCAGTAACAGCACTCAAGGTCCAAATCTTTGTTTTATGTTTGGTTTATAAACATTTATTTTTCTATGCAATAAAAAAATCTAGAAAATAGAAAAAGATGCAATAAATTGCTTTTTTTTGCAATTACAAGGTCACAACCCACAGAGACCTTCCAGTTAAAGCCAGTTCATGCTTTAATTCAGTTACAGGAGCTGACTGAGCTTCTCTTTCAAGAAAAATTATGAAGTTAATCCAGAAAAATAGATTTTTTTTGTACATAATAACTCCAAAGCTGTCAAATTGAGGAAGTTTGGCTCGTATTGAACATAATTCCTCTTCAAAGAATGCTCTACCACTGGCAGTAACAGCCACTGACATGAAAGGAACTGTGGGTTGTGGGCAGTGCCATGAAGAAACACTGAATTTATGTCATAAAAGAGGAACAAAAAGTCCAGAACGCACTGATTTCTCAATGCTAATCCTCTCCCATCCCCAGGAACCCTTCCAAAGCAGCTCCCTTCCTACAAAAACAGACTGGAGGTAACAGGGGCAAAAAACCAAAGGGGTTGGTTCTTCCTTGCACAAGACTATCTGTCCAAAATGCACCTTAAATCTGTTTTATATTCAGCWGGTAAATGCTTTTTCTTTTGCAAGACAACACTGGCAAAAGACAAACAGTGAACTGCAGAAAATGATACCAATACATACTTAAAATCTGCAATATTTCTGCACGAGAGGAGAATTTTTGATTCCCTTCAGYGCTAATCATTTACAGGCACTTCAGCTGTGATTTATATAAAATTTTGACAAATGCAAATATAGGAATTCCCACTCTGTAGAATGTTACAGAGGTACACAGCCCAGTAGGAAAAAGTAAAATATTCCACTGGAGGGTAGACCTCTAATTTCTAAATTTGTAATTTTTAATTTCTAAACGTCTCCATTTCTAAACGCTTCCATTTCTAATTTCTAATGCCTAAATTTCTGGATCTCTAATGCCTAAATTTCT